CCAGAGACTGTAGTGAAGCTCTGGACAGGTTCAATGTCCCACAGGCCCAATGTGGGCAACTGTCTCCAGCTACACTTGCAAATCTCCAGTGCTTGTGCTCAGCCCCTTTGATCTCCAGAGACCTGCAGGGAGTTGTACCCTGTCAGCCAGCAGCCCAGATCCTGCACTTGTTAAACTTTATCCTCAGGCTCTTTTTGTTCAACCAATTCCCCTGCACCAGGCTACCATCATTTGGCTTCCCTACATTTGTGTCCACATTCTTTTCACTAGAGCAGCTTGCTCCGAGCCCCCGTGTCCAACCTGGCCTTGAACACTGCCAGGGATGGGGCAGCCACAGCTTCTCCATTCAACCCATTCCAGTGTACCACCACCCTCTTCTGCCTAAGAACTCCTCTCCATCTCCCCTCTGGCAGGTTCAAGCCATTCCCCTTGGCCTGTCCCTACAGGCCCTTGTCCCAAGCCCCTCTCCAGCTTTCCTGCAGCCCCTTCAGGCACTGGAGCTGCTCTCAGGTCTCCCCTTCAGGAGCCTTCTCTTCTCCAGGCTGACCCAGCCCAGCTCTCTCAGCCTGGCTCCAGAGCAGAGCTGCTCCAGCCCTCGCAGCAGCTCCGTGGCCTCCTCTGGACTCGCTCCAACAGTAACTGGGACAGTAACAATTGAAACGGGGCAGGGCTTCTGTTTTCAGCCCCATCAGAAGTGTCTGTCTGGAGGCATTAGCTCCAGTTGGAGTTACACAGCCTACTCACTGCTGGGGTGACAAAGTCTATTTATTTAGTTTACCTTAAAACATCATTGAAATAAAATCCCACACCTGACTGGACTGCAAACATCCTGGCCCATACCCCAATATCCAAAACCAGGATTAAGTGTGTCCCATGGGATCCTTATGGAGGAGTTCTTGCCGCGAACATCCAGAACACTCTTCTTTGACTTCTCAACGTTTTCATAAGGTCTCTGAAGGTGAATTCCCTGTAGCACCAAGGAAGAAAACAAGAAACAGACTTATTTTTTGACCCTCATTCCTTGTAAATGACATCCACAAGTTGAGCTGGCCCTGGCTTGGTGAGACACAGTGGTCTGTTACTTAAACCCCGTGGGAATAGAGGAGGCTTCCAAAGAAACTCCCCCAGAGGCATGAGTTAGGACATCTGTCAGCCAAGATACAAAGTAGGTAAAAACTACAGAGGAACAGGGATCGAGTGATGGTGTGGGAACAGGGATGCAAAACCAGCAAGAAGAGCACATATGCACACAGAGGGGAAACTGGACAGACCTGGGATTGAATTCCTCCAGCCCTGCTTGCTCCTCAATGAGTGTAGGTATCCTCCACTCTGAACACTACATGTTATTGCTCACAGCCACTCAGCTCAGAAGCCACTCGAGCTTGAAAGCTATTCCTTTAAGGGAGCAGGAATGGAGTGTCCTTGTCCTGTTTGCTATTGGCTTTGCTGGGGAATCTGACAAAACCCACAGCACCAGAGAAAGATGAACACAAGACTATCCCAGAAGTGTCTTCACTTTCTCTTAAACGCAAGGCAAGAGAGAACATCAGGTCCCTACCACTGCACTGTGTTGCTATACAACAAACTGGATAAGAAAACTCCCAGGACATTCACATCATAATGAGCTTTTACTCCCACTTCCTTCAGAAACACCACTGGGAGCTAGAACTGGGTCAGAAATGACTTGTACTTGCTGTGAGATCCACATGGGAGCAGCAAGTCCTCCCAAGAAATGAATAACAATGTCCAATCTACTATAACCTGTAAATATGACATCCAAAAAAGATCCCAGAACTCTGGATCACTTTAAGCTGCTTTATCTTCATCATCTAAAACAATGGCTTTGATCACATTATAATCTCTCATGCACTGATGGAAACCAGATTTCACTGCATATTTTCTCCTACATTCATTAAATGACTTTCTGAACCACAGAAACCATTCCAAGCTCAAGGATTTGCTTTATGTATCTTATTTTATGTCTTATTTCAACTATCCCTGGCCAAATCCATCCCTCATCTCAGGCCATTGGCTACAGTTGTCTAAGACAGGACAGACTTGGCATCTGTGAGACCCACAGCTCTAACACAGTAACACCCAGCACAAGGCAGAGAAACTACTGGAGTCTGTTTCAAACTCCAGCTAAAGTAGCAAATTCAAACCTCCCAGGCCACATTATCATGCTTAAAACCATCCACTTTAAAAGCTGAGACCACTCCAGGCTTCCTCAGGGACTTCAGTTCCTGAGGGCTGAAAGAGCTCTAGGCTCATAGGATCCAGTCCTTCAACAGGCTAAGCTCCAGTGACCAGCATTACCCAGTCCTGCCAGAGTCTTAAGGATCTCCCCTCCAGTGGGTTCCAGTAAATACCAACTGGAATTAACTCACCAGTTTGCAGGACCAAGTTCCTAGCACAAGAGGTGACAAGATACAGCTATGTTTTGGCTGCTGACTCCTGACATCCACACGCAGGGCAGAGGAATTCCCATGTCTTCCCATTAAGAGGGAGCTGCTGCCTCTTTGCCAGGTCACAAATAAACAGTATTTCAGGTCATAAATAAACAGCATTTCAGGTCATAATATTCTCCTGGCAGTGTTTTTGCTCTGTCACAGGGTTAGGTGCATCAACAGCACTCCCTTCAGATGTAACACTGAATATAAAACTCTTACCTTCTGGTCCCACACATGACCCTGGCTTCATTCTGCATTTTCCTTGCCCAACATCCATTCTATGGATTATCCCAGGAGAAGCAAGTCCTGTGTTACTCAGATGGAAGGAAAAATGGAAGGGATTTACTAAAGAAACTGGACTCACTTCCTCATATGACAAAGAGCAAAACCACTGCCTTTGAGTAGTTGTAAAGTAGTAACAGAGTGCCAGTGGGTGAAATGCCATGTTGCAAGGGAAAAACCCATTCTGAAAGCTGCCACCTGAGAGCAAGGACTTGAGAGAGGGGAATTTGCAAGAGACTGGGTTGCCAGGGACACCCGAGGCACAAAAAGTGCCAACTGACACCAGACACAGGAGATCTCAGCTGTGTTGTTTGCTGCCTGCCTGGGTTTCACGCCAGATCCTTCAGTGTTGTAGGGAAGAGCTTGAGGAAACAACCTGAGCATGAAGAGAGAGGTGCAAACCCTGCCCAGTGTGAAGATGAAGGATTCTCAGTCTCCTGTAGCAATGCAGTAAGGATCAATGTTCACTTTCCATCCCCAGGGAAGAGCAGAGTGAGGGATTTTTCCTTCTATTCCAGCTCTGTTCCACACGTTAGTCACTGGGATGAGGCTGCTCCAGGCAGGATTCACACATCCCTTCAGAAGCTGTTTGAGAGGATCGGCTGCTGCTCTCATCGCACTCGAACGGTCCCGATGCCAAATTCCACCACCGAAACACCCTCAGCCAACAACCGGCGGCCCTGTGCTGCCCTCTGACGGGCTGCACGCAGCAGCAGCACTGGGCTCCCAGACCCAACGACCACGGAGGCACAAACAGCCAGGGGGGTTCGGAGTGTCCCTTTCACCAGGGATTTATGGATGTCCCCGGGGTTTATGGGTGCCGCAGTGACTGCGCAACCACAGCCAGCTCTGCACCATGCCTGCCTTCCCGAAGAGAATCCAGGGCTCACCAAGCACAGCTCCCATGCACACCAAATACCAACCAGTTCATGAGGGTGCCCTGGGCCCATTCGTCTCTGCTCTATCATAGTGGTCTCCTCTGCTTCAGGAGCTTCCACCCTTGCTGTTGGAAGGCCTGGGGAGCAAGAAGGATAAAAGGGAGGATTACACCAGACCCAATCCAGCCCCATGTGCTGGGCTGAGCCCCCCAAAGTGGGCAGTGCTCCAACCTCAGAGCCAGGGCAGCCCCGTTTGGCTGGGATCTGGCTGACAGCTTCTGCCCCTTTGGGTGGAGGGGAGCTGGGATTATGGCTTCTCGCAGACCTCACCCTCCTGAACCCCACTGAGCCTTCAGCCCCCTGCCAACAAGTGTCCTCATAGAACCCCAGCCTGGTTTGTGTTGAAGGGACCTTAAAGCTCCTCCAGCTCCAACCCCTGCCACGGGCAGGGACCCCTTCCACTGGAGCAGCTTGCTCCAAGCCCCTGTGTCCAACCTGGCCTTGAACACTGCCAGGGATGGGGCAGCCACAGCTTCTCTGGGCACCCTGTGCCAGCGCCTCAGCACCCTCACAGGGAAGAGCTTCTGCCTAAGAGCTCATCTCAGTCTCCCCTCTGGCAGGTTCAAGCCATTCCCCTTGGCCTGTCCCTACTGCTGAGCATACAGATGCCCAAAGCGCCTTTAGAACACCACAACACTGGCAACATCACGCCTTTACTACACCCGTTTGGGACACAGGGAGCTCCCAGCCTCCTTACCCAGCGCATGGCACAGCCTGTGTGCTACTACGCCGAATAATGAATTCTTCTCTTCATTTCAAAGCCTCATGATGTGTTTTAAGGCAGCGCCATGGTGCGTGGGGGCCTGGGCTGGCAGCTCCAAGTGCTAACACGGATCCAACCCCCGTCTCCCGAAACACGGGGATCTTGAATGAGGAAATTTGGGGTTTGTATTTCACACGTGAAGCTCTGGGGGACGCAAAGGACCCGTCAGAGGGGGCTGGAAGCTCGCTGTGTCTGACAGAAAGAGAAGGGACCCTCGGCCCGTGCAGACCCCGGAGCTGGGCCCTGTGTCCCCATCCACACGCAGGCCCTGGAACGGGGGGGCATTCCCTGTGCCTCAGTGCTCCTGCCCCAGCCTTGACCCGCCACTGCGACCGCCACTGCCCCTCAGCCCCTTCCTCCTCCTCCCTTCAGCCCCTTCACCCCACTCCCTTCCTTCCAAGCCCGTCTCCCACCTCAGCCCCCCCCGAGCACCCGCAGCCCAAACCCCTCCTTCCCTCCCCTCACAGCCGCCTCCATCTCCCCCCTCCGCCTGCGCTCCTCCTGCCGGCAGGGGGCGCTGCCGCAGCGCGGGCTGCCCCTTGGCGGCGGGGGCGCCGCTCTCTCCGCCCGCGGGAGGCGGCGGGGCGGGCCGCGGGCTCGGCGTGAGGCGGGCGGCGGGGCCGGGCGCGGGGAGTCGCGGCCCCGCTGGAGCCGGCGCGGGGCCTTGCGGGAGCAGCATGGCCGCCAGCCTGTGGATGGGGGACGTGAGTGTCCGGCCGGGAGCCGCGCGGGGGGCTTTGTGCGGCGGGCAGCGGGGGCGGCCTGGCCGGAGGGAGGAGGGAGAGCAGCGGCCGCGGCTCCGGGGAGAGCGGGGTTGGCGTGCGCTGAGCGGCGGGCACCCAAACACTGATACCCGCACACTGACCGGCTGATACCCGCACCCTGACACCCGCACCCTGACCCCGCGCACTGACACCCGCACACTGACACCCGCACACTGACCGGCTGATACCCAAACACTGACACCCGCACCCTGACACCCGCACCCTGACCCCGCACACTGACACCCGCACACTGACACCCGCACACTGATACCCGCACACTGACCGGCTGGCACCCACACCCTGACACCCGCACCCTGACACCCGCACCCTGACCCCGCGCACTGACACCCGCACACTGACACCCGCACACTGACCGGCTGATACCCAAACACTGACACCCGCACCCTGACACCCGCACCCTGACCTCGCACACTGACACCCGCACACTGACACCCGCACACTGATATCCGCACACTGACCGGCTGGCACCCGCACCCTGACACCCGCACCCTGACACCCGCACACTGACACCTGCACACTGATACCCGCACACTGACCGGCTGGCACCCGCATACTGACACCCGCACACTGACCCCCGCACACTGACCGGCTGACACCCGCACATTGACCCCGCACCCTGACACCCGCACCCTGACACCCACACCCTGACCCCGCACACTGACACCCGCACACTGACACCCGCACACTGACTGGCTGACACCCACACATTGACCCCGCGCACTGACACCTGCACACTGACACGCGCACATTGAACCCCCACACTGACCGCCTGGCACCCGCACACTGACACCCGCACCCTGACACCTGCACATTGACCGGCTGATACCCGCACATTGACCCCGCGCACTGACACCCGCACACTGACCAGCTGATAACCGCGCACTGACACCCGCACATTGACTGGCTGGCACCCGCACACTGACACCCGCACACTGACACCTGCACACTGACTGGCTGATAACCGCACACTGATACCCGCACATTGACACCTGCACATTGACCCCCGTACATTGACTGGCTGGCACCTACACACTGATACTCGCACACTGACCCCGCACACTGACTGCCTGGCACCCACACACTGACCCCCACACACTGACCGGCTGATAACCGCACACTGACACCCGCACACTGACCGACACCCGCACACTGACCAGCTGGCACCCGCACACTGACACCCACACACTGACCAGCTGGCACCTGCATGCTGACTGACACCTGCACACTGACCGATGGACTGCCACCCTCGCACTGACTGACTGATACCCTCCCGCACTGACACCCCCCTAAGCTCCTGGAGTGACCGACCCTCTCCTGTGCACGCTGGCAGGCTCACAGGCTCACACCCAGTCGGAGGCTCTGACCCCAGCCCAGCGCACTGGTGAGCAGTTACACACCCACAGACACAGTCAGACACACACACACACACACACCAAATGACCCTAGTCGCACCCGTGGCACTTACACCGGTGTCCTGGCTGCCTGTGCTCACGCTGGTGCACACTAATGTGCGCTCGCTCTTTGCTGGTGCTGTGTTAGGCACTTACACCCTCACATGCCTGTGCGCTTGCATGTGTGCAGGGTTTATACACTGCTTGTGTGCTTGTAGGCACTTGCATGCTCATGGTCAGACACTGAGGCTACCACTTACACCACTTACACATGCTTGTGTTGCTCAGGTTGCACGCTTGTGCGCACACTTGCAGGCACTCATGTGCTTGGATGCGCCTACCCAAGAGTATCCCTCACTACACCCCGCTCACTGTGGGTGCACTCACACACTTGGAAGGATTTGCAGTCTTCTGCACGCACACACACTCGTGAGCACTTACACACACAGCAGCTCCCTCATTCCTCCCTGCTTGTGCACCTGCAGCACGCTCACACTCACAGATGCTTGTCTCCCTGCCTGCTCCCATGTACGCTCACAGTGACACACACCACACAGTGTCCCTTGTCCGCCCTTCACTCGCACTCCACACACCCTCATACTCCTGTGCCTGTGTCCCTTCCCCTTTGCACTGTGCACACACACTTTCATACATGTATGAGTATGAAACACATCTATACATGTATGAAAGTATGTGTACTCACCCCCGGCGCATAGCACCCACCGCACTCTTGTCTGCATGTGCTCACATCGTACTCTAGTGCCCGCACTGCCTGTGTCTATGACTTTCACACTGTCATACTCACAGTCCCACCAGGGTATCGTGGTGTCCTTGCTGCCTGCCACTTGCTGCACACACCTACTCAGAGCCAGGTGTGTGCAGTTACACCAGCGTGTGCAGTTACACCAGCTTGTTTCCATGTTGCCTGTTACCTGCACACACACCTTCCTCCTCACAGACCCACAGCAGCACGTTGCCTGGGCCTGCCTGCACACACGAGTACCCTGTAGGCTTCCTCAGTCCCCCTCACATGTGTGCGGGGTCGCTGAGGATCCTGCTGGGTGCTCCTCTCATACGCACTCACACACTGCGTGTGTTGCACACACTCACTGATGCATCAGGGAGTCTTTCACTGCCTGCTGCTTGTGCAAGCAGATTCCATGGAGTTTGCTGTTTCCCTGTTACTCAGACAAAGGGTTATCCACCACCTCTCCACCATTAAGCCATCTTTTCCAGTTACCACTCTCACGAGCAGCCTGTGGCTCTTTGTAACATACACAGACACAGCTAGCAGGAGTTACCTGTTGCCTTTATGAGTCTGGCTTTCCTGTGCACACAGCACACAGGATCACCCTCTGCACTGCACATCTGGACAGAGTAGTGCTGCTTCCTGCTTCTGGCACACGTAGCAGAGTCACTTCTGCTTTGCACTCCCACTTCCACAGGGCAGCTGCCACCTTTTGCACATCCTGGTGGGTGCAGTGTGGGTACTGCACAAGCCTCTGCATTCTGTCACATGCACCGGGTACCTGGCAGACACCAACGTGCTGGAGGGCTGTCAGCTCCCACGAGGACATCTGTCTGACTCACACAGGTGTAGAGATACGTAGAGGTGTATAAATGTACAGATGCGTGCAGCGCTCTCCATCAGGATGTCCCCTGCACAGAACCTTCATTTCAGTTAGCTCCCTCAGCACTTTCTGTTACAGAGAGGCATCCTTTTCCCTCAGTCCCTTCATAGAATCTCAGCCTGGTTTGGGTTGGAAGGGACCTTAAAGCTCATCCAGTGCCATGGGCAGGGACACCTTCCACTGGACCATGTTGCTCCAAGCTCCATCCATCCTGGCCTTCCTCATATATTTGCTCCAAGTTGCAGCACTGTTTCATGCTCTTCGGACACTGACACCGTACAGACACCTCCTCTTCAGCATGTGCACTCACTGCCCTTCACACACCCTCTGACACCCCCCCCGCCACCCTGTCACCCATGACAAACACACGGTCAATGTACCCAGTTATAGGTTCCCCCTCTTGAGTCCTGCCCTGCGTATCTCGTGTTCTGGGAGGTAGACAAAGCTCGGCAACCCCCTGCCCAGCTCCATGGGGACTGTTACCTGCCACATGCCACCCGCTCCTCATAGCACCCCAACAATGCTGGCCCAACCTCGGTGTGCACACAGAAGGAGCCTTGCCACCTCCTTGTCCCCTCCTCCATGTCCTGAACGCTCAGTTTGTTGCTGTATGTTTTCTGAGTGGCTTTTGTCCTTCTGTGAAAGCTCCCTGTTCTCTGAAATTCATGCTGTCTCTTGGGTTCCACTTTGCAGACTGTTGAGCCTGGTTCATGCATGCCTGCTGGTTTTGAGTGGCATCGACCCTCTTAAATGAGTCTTCTTTTTGAAGTGTAAGGGTAAAATCCTTCTCAATAATGTTTTAACTGCTTAGGGGGACATTGACACAAAAATTCTCCTGTTTGTCGATGCCTGGGCCTAATTTTTCCTCTCTTGCTTTTATAGCTGGAGCCATATATGGATGAAAACTTTGTTTCAAGAGCCTTTGCCACCATGGGAGAGCTCGTACTGAGCGTAAAAATCATTCGAAACAGGTTGACAGGGTAACTGTTTATGCTTGTTCTCAGTTTGTTCTACCAATGGAGTGAGCCATTTGCCCTCTGTGTGGTGTCACTGTGGTCCTGTCAGCATTAGGGTGATTGTCACATTGAGCTTTTCACCGGGGCTGCCACCAATCTGGGTGCATGGTGGTAGCAGTGGAGAGACCAGTTGCTGGCTCTTTGACCATCAGCAAGCCAAGGTTGAGCCCTCGTGCTGCAGCACTTCAGCACTTGTTCAGAGAGGTGTACAGTGCCAGACAGGCTCTCTTGGAGTTACACTGCCTGTAACTGGGCTGAAAGCTTCAATGCTGGCCTGGCGTTCATCGTGGCACTAGTGTGTGGTGCTGGCAGAGGTGGGAATTCTGCCTTCTCTGTTCTTGTAGATGTTGTCATTCCAGTTTCCAACTGGTTGGGACAATTGGGTGGGAAAACTTCTAGTGAATGAGAGCAGAAACTAAGCTAATTGTGAGCCAAACTATTTGACATGACTTACTGGTAAGTAGGGGCTACCTTGACTTGAGATCAAGATTCCTTTGCTGGCTTCTTTTCGGGAGCTGCTGTCTATCTTTTGAAACAGAAATGGTCCCAAGTATTGCGACTATAGCAAACTCCCTCCTGGTTATGTGAAATGTGTTTTAAATGTGAACTCTTTCTCTCTCCTGTGTCCTGTGTTCAGAATTCCAGCAGGCTATTGCTTTGTAGAGTTTGCAGATCTAGCTACTGCAGAGAAATGTTTACACAAAATCAATGGAAAACCGCTTCCTGGGGCTACACCGGTGAGTAACTGGAGTCAGGCAGTTGAGAGCCATGACTAGGAAGGAATAGATAGCACCAGAGCTGTATTTGGAATGGTTACAGACAAATTCAATAGTTAGCAAACTGGGATTCTCCTTTTCTTTCTAGTTAAAGTGATGAGCATAAAACTGCAAAAGTTCTTATGCAGAAAAGTGTTGGAAAACCCACTCATTTATGTGTGAATGGGATAAAATCCAGGTATAGATCTGGTGTGGTGTGAGGTTTTCTGTCTTCTTGTCTTTTTGAACCTTTTTGCTCTTACCACAGTTGTACTAATGCGAAAGAACAAGTTAAAAATAGATTGAGTATCCCTTCCACAGTCCTCCACAGTCTCTCTCCAGTTGTAGCTCCATCTTAATTTGTCTCAGTGTGTAAGTTCTTACATATGTACCAGATGAACTTGGGAGTTCATCCTGAGTTGTGAGAAACTTGGATTTGCAAGAGAAATGTGACTTTTAAGCCTTGTATTATTCCTGACCCTTAGCAAGCAAAAGTTACTCCAAACTATTTACAGTGCAGAAGGAGCTAGGCCGTTGTGTAACTGCAGCATGTAACAAACGTCTTGGATATGTAAAAGGTAGTTAGGAGGAAGAACAGTCACCGAGGCTAATTTTAGGCTGTTGACTTCAACGTGGAGTAGATTAAAATGGGATGGCTGACACAGCTGCCCGTTGTACCCACAGGAGCTGGCTGCAGGAGCTGGGATGACTGCTTCCTAAAGCAGCTCTAGAACCACCTCAATTACACTGGGAGGTAGTCAAGTAAATTTATGATACCTCTTTCAGTGTATTTAATACCCTGAGCAGGAAAGTGGGAAGTTCAGGTTCAGCCTTTTGGTCAGCTTCCTGAGAGGATGGCGGCCCCATCAGAAGGGGTAGATGAGAAGCCTGGAGGGATTTGTTTCACCTGCCCTGTTTAATACTCAAATCAGAGCCCATGATTAAAGGAAGTTAATCTTCCTCAATGCCTTCTTAGTCACCAGAGAGACAAAGAGAGCAGCTCCTGCAAGGAGTAAGACAATCACTGAAGTTTAGTTTCAGGAGTAGCCACAGTTTAATTCCAAACATGGTGGTGTGTAGAGGGATGATGTATGTAGCATGTGTTGGGAGCTACAGATGTCAGCGAGCCAATGCAGGCAGCCAGAATCAGTGTATTGTGTTGTTTCCTAATTGTGTGGCTTCACACAGAACATCTGAATGCATGGATTCATTTCTGCCTTGTTTCAGGCAAAGCGATTTAAACTGAATTATGCAACGTATGGGAAACAGCCTGATAACAGGTAAATGTTCAGTATTTAATATCAAGTTTGCTGATTAATGCCTCTGTATCATTTGCCTTGCAAAGGGTATTCAAAACACACAAACCTACAGGTTCCTCAGTGCCAGTCTTTAGCAGAGGATGGGTAACCTACGCTGCCTGTTGGGTTTATGCTTTGCTTTCTGTGTGGCACAGCAGATGGGTCAGGAGTGTCTTTGAAGTGTTTAAACTCTGTAGCACCGAAGTATCTCATTTGTGTATTATCATTTAAGATCAGTACGTTGGAAATAGCAAATTATTAATGAGACCTTAATGTTTTCTTGCCCTGTTGGATACCCTGACATTATCTTTCAGTAGCAAGCAGTAGTGAATAGATGGGTTGTGCTGCTTGAATTGACTTGAAACACAATGTCAATAACAATTCTAAGTCACTGAAGCAGCTTAGCTGGTAACACTTTGAATTATCCATTAGATGCTCTTTTAATATCACTTCTCTCTGCAGTTCAGGCTGTTAGCTGTCACTCAGCATGCCTCTTTGGTTTGTGTCATTGTGCTTAAGGAGTTTTCTCTTGGTTTCTTTAGTCCAGAATATTCCCTTTTTGTGGGAGACCTGACTCCTGACGTGGATGATGGCATGTTATATGAATTTTTTGTTAAAGTTTATCCCTCATGTAGAGGTGGCAAAGTCGTTTTGGACCAGGCAGGAGTATCCAAGTAAGTCATCTTTTAGTCATTCTTCTCTTTCACTTCACATGCAGCAACAGGAAAAATACAGTGCATTAAGGGAAAAAGCATAGTTCTATAAGCTTAGAACACAACATTCTTGGACGTTCAGTTACAGTGTGCTTGGGTTCAGACAGTCCCCACAGCATCCTGTCACTCAGTGTGTTGGCAGCATGTTACAGAACATGCTCAGAATCTCTCCTCTTTCTCACACAAGGTTCAGTCTTAGCCATGTTGGTTTGAAGGAATCTCTGGAGGTCTGTGGTCTGACCTCCCACTCGGAGCAGGATGGCTGCCACCTTTCAATCAGGTCAGCCAGGAATTGTGCGGCCTGGAAAACCTCCCTGGATGGGGATGATACCACCTCTGAGCAGCCTATTCCAGAGGTGTGCAACATCCTTAGTAATGAAGTCCTTCATATACAACCTGAACCTCTTGCAGAGCTGCTCAGTCACTCTCTGGCTGCTCAGTATCATGCTGTTACTGCCACCTCACCTGAGACCAGCACTGGATGGGCTCCGAGCACGTCCTCCTCAGAGGTGTAAACCCAGTGGTTCTTGTTTTGCTTCAGTCTCTGCCTACAAAAGAGCTGTTGGGTGATGTGAGTCGGGCCAACAGCTGGGCTTTGGGAAGTGTTGGTAAGTGCAGGCCCCAGGGAAGGGGAATCTGTGGCAGCTCTGGAAGTGGGGAAGGAGCAGGAACTTAAAGTCCTATTGCTGGGAAGAGCGAGGCTATCTCCCCTAGCAGCACCAGGGTGTTGCTGCCAGGGGCTTTGTTGTGACTTGTGCAGTTACTCAAAGCTGAGGCAACTGCAAGTGTTGGTGTGGTCTGAGAGAGGAACCTGGGGCTTGTGGACGTGCCTAGTGGTAGATCGGGAAAGCTTCAAAGCACCTTTTCCCCAGCACCACTTGTTGAGGCAAGAGAAGAGCCTGATGCCCTAGAACTGTGCTGGCCTCTGCTTTCTGATGAGGGTGCAGCATGGGGGGGCTTCTCTTAACTGCAGGGATAGGACAGAACGTCCTGGCCACAAAGAAATGCTTTCTTGGTGGGTTTTCTTCTGTACTAAAACCTGGTTTAGCTACTGGTGTGCAATAAACTGTCTCCCTTGCTGCACCCAGCATCTGTTCCTATGCACTACATCCCACCCTTTGTCTGTCCCGTCTCTGGTTTGGAATTGCCAGTCTTCCTGCTTTCACTTACTCCTGGTCCCATCCAAAAGGCTGCAGGAGTTCATGCCCATCATGGGGCAGGGACAGCTCTGTACTAGCTGCCAGTGGGGACCTATTATGAGCAGTACATGATGTGTACGTGATGCCACTTTCAAAAGAGCATGTTACGTGGTGTTGCAGAGTTCCCACAGAAGAGATAATGTGCTGTAAATGTACACCCTTGCTTACAGCCCGTGCTTTTCCCCAGGTAGACAAGCCCTTACCCTCCCAGCCTCCTTCCTTCACCCAGATGGATTCCTCTTTCCCTCCCACACCTATGTCTTTGATCTTTCTGCTGCAGGAGGCAGCCCAGCCCATGCTGGGATCCTGGCGCTGCCCTCTTGGGTGCTGTTGTATTGCTTCTGACTCACTACAGCAGCAGAAGCCCACGCAAAGGACCTTTGGGGTTGGAGGGGAATTCATATTGGCTGTTGTGCAGAGCTGCCAGCACCACAGTGCAGGATTGCTGCAGTCCAGGGCTTGCTGGCTGGGTGCTAGCCCTGTTCCAGTTGTGCTGTCAGAGCAGGCTTTAGCAACTTGATGTTAAGAGCTTGTTTTCAGGTCCACTCTTGAGAACACCAGTGGGGTTGTGCCATTGTTCAGAGTAATAAAAGCCTGTTTGAGTGTTTTCCTGTTGCAAAAAGGACTTGATTAGAAAGTCTTAGTCAATCCTACACGCAAGTGATGTTCTCCTTCACAGTGGGACAGTTTTAGCTATAAGCAGTGCCTCTGTTGTGTCAATCCTGTGCTGACTTGCAACCATGTAGATTATCTGTATCCTCCTGGTGCAGATCTGAGGCTTTGCTACTGTTCATGCATTTCAACACGGCTTGTGTCAGCTTATTTCCAATTCCTCAGAATCCACTGCTACAGCACCCTGTGCCAGTGCCTCTGCACCCTCACAGGGAAGAGCTCATCTCAGCCTCCACTGGCAGGTTAAAGACATTCTCCTTGCCCTGTCCCTATATCCCTTGTCCAAAGCCCCTCTCCAGGCTTCTTGTAGCCCCTTTAGGCACTGGGAGCTGCTCTAAGGTCTCCACTAAAAGCAGGGACAGCCCTAGTGAAAGCATTCCTTTTGCTGTGTTCTTCAACACCTATTTTGCCTTCCCTGTAAATACCTGTTTTTAAGTGGCTTCTTTTGCTGTTATTTCATTGGAGCTGTTCTGTATCTCTGCAGAGGTTACGGGTTTGTGAAGTTTACGGATGAGCTGGAACAGAAAAGAGCCCTGACTGAGTGTCAAGGAGCCGTGGGCTTGGGCTCCAAACCTGTACGCTTGAGTGTGGCTATACCAAAAGCGTGAGTATAAGAGCAGGCAGGGGTTCACTAGAGCACTGTGAAGTGAAACCAATGTCTTCTAGTGCTTTGGCTACAATTCCTGGATGTTTCCATCCCAAAGTGAAGGAATACCCAGGGAACAATTAGCTAGAGTATCAGAATGCCCAGGATTCCCAAAGAATTCTAATGTTAGCTCGAGAGTTAAGCATTTAACACTGTTTTGAATTGTATACGTTATTAAATACACACACACTATTTAAATCTGATCATTTTTTAAAGTATAATGTTCCTTTGTGTTAAATTGCAATTGTCTACATCTGCTTCTTGATTTCTGGGTAGCAAAGCTCAATGACCTTGCTAATTCTGTGATAATGTCTACTACATGTAAGTCTTTTGGGGCAGAGATTAACTTTGTTTTCTGTGTTTGTTCAGAACCTGATACAATGAGATCCTGCTCTGACTTGGGGCTCGTAGCACTAGGGTAATACGAATCATAGTAATTGCTCCCTATTTGAATAACATTTAGGTTTTCAGGCACCTCAGAAGTCTTGGGGGGATGAGGAAGAGAAAAAGGGGGTGTATCGTGGTGAGAAGATTGCTGCCGTTTCCCTCCTCCTACTTCTCGCTAATTTCATCATTAGACATAGCTTGATGTGTGACATACTTCCATTTTCAAACAAGATCTGTCATCTCATTACTTTCCCATCTCAATAATCTGGTGGGATTCCTAAGTCCTTGGAGAAAAGCTGCCACTTGATGGCAGGGAAGGGGGGTTTCAGGCAACATACAGGCTATTTTAAATGGGTTTAAGATTAAGTATTTATTTCTTTTGTTATTTGTAGTCCTTTTTACTTTATGGGCGTTTCCAGCTCTGTGCATTGATGAACACATTCAGAGAGCCTGGGGTCAAGGAGTCATTGCTTTAAGCTTCTGCACAACAGTGGCAGAGGGAAGAGGGTTTTGCCCGTTCTTGCTAAAGAAAACCCCATTCCTTTTGCAAGGCTCTCAGTCTTTAACTCTTCTTGTAAAGCAAGACTCAGTACCTGGTGGTAGGAAGCTGCAGAGCACTTCACTCCATCCTATTTATCAGAAGGAAAAAGGGACCCAAGGATCTGGATCATGGTTCAGGATTGTTGTAAACTGAGGCTCCTAGTCCTGAACTCTTCCCTTCACAAAGGCAGGAAGTGATACTACGTTAACTCATAAAGAATGAAAGCAGTTAATGAAGATGAATATGGGAACGGGCATTAATTGAAAGCATTTCTTTCTTCCTGCAAATGTATGCAAATGATAAATGCTGCTGCAGTGAATTAAAGACTGAATTTGCATGTTAAACTAAGCCTTGCCTGTGCACCATAGATACAAATCTCAAGCTCTTTCATTGCTTTTTACCTGGTTCATTCTTGGCAACTTAATTCCTGCTTTTTTTCTTTTTTTTCAAGTAATCGTGTGAAAGCCATGGAGTACAACCAGATGTACAACTACAACTATAACCAGTATTACCAACAATATCACAGCTACTACGCGCAGTGGGGCTATGACCAGAACACGGGCAGTTACAGCTACAGCTATCCCCAGTATGGATACACCCAGAGCACAATCCAGGTAGGGCAGTGTGACATACTCACTCTTCAGTGCTCTGTCAGCACAGAAACACCCCATAGCTTACAAAACACTAATGGGTATATTTCATCATCAAGCTCCAGGGTCTTAATATGAGAAAAGAAAAGTGTTTAGCACACCCTGGTGTGTACTGTTGCCTTTTTGGGGGGAGATATTGCTGGGACTGGAAGAGTAGAAAGGTCTGGAGGACACAAAGGGTCTCTTAATAGAGTTGTCATGGTAGAAAGGTTCTCTTGATATGGGCAGTTTTAGAGGGTAGAACAAATGAGGACACCTACCCTACTACATCACAGGCACAGAAACTGCTGCCTCAGAAGTTTAGTGTGGGCTGGTTCAGCCTGGAGAAGAGATGGCTCCTTACAGGGTGACCCTAGAACAGCTCCAGTGCCTAAAGGGGCTGCAGGAAAGCTGGAGAGGGGCTTGGGACAAGGGCCTGTAGGGCCAGGCCAAGGGCAATGGCTTTAACCTGCCAGAGGGGAGACTGAGATGAGCTCTTAGGCAGAAGCTCTTCCCTGTGAGGGTGCTGAGGCGCTGGCACAGGGTGCCCAGAGAAGCTGTGGCTGCCCCATCCCTGGCAGTGTTCAAGGCCAGGTTGGACACAGGGGCTTGGAGCAAGCTGCTCTAGTGGAAGGCATCCACTAGACATCATCATTGGATGAGCGTTAAGGTCCCTTCCAACTCAAACCACTCTGATTCTATTCTATGATTCTATGATCTCCCCCATGGAGTCTGTTGGGAGTAGAATACAGGGCTTATGTGTGAAGAATTCTGTTGACATCAGTCAGCTTTAAGTCAGTATGTGACAGCAGTGATCAGCAGGTGATGTCTGTAAAAGAAAAGGTAAATCTCTGCTGTCCTAAGGGTTTCATTTTGCCTTGCAGACATATGAAGAAGTTGGTGAGGATGCATTGGAAGGTAAGTTTCTCAAATTCTATATTGAAGTAGTCTGTTCTGCACAGGTTAGAGATAGTCTTTCTCAGCTTGGCCCTTCATTTCACTGTATGATGTACCTTCATCTTTGAGTAAATCTGAGGTCTGAGAAAATCTGTGTCCTTGTTTTACAGTTGCTGCTCCTAGTCTGAACCCTGTGAGGACTGAAACTAACTCCCCCAGCACTGAGATTTTAATCTGCCGTAGTACTCAAACCTTTATCCTTTTTTAAAGTGTTTCTTTCTGTTATGCTACAAAAAACAATGGAGGTATTTGATTTTCCTGTAAAATCTCGGAATTTAGAAGCCAGGATACTTCACTGTGGTTTTAGCTTAAAAAAGAAATCACATCAGTTAGCACAGTGATCAGGTACTTCCTTTAGCAGTCATTGGGCCACGAAACCATATTGGTTTGGATAAATGTACAGCAGTTTTCATTTATTAATACAATAAATAATCAGTTCCACATGGCTGTCTTGAGTGGAATATGCACTGTGTAGTGTAGCTTATTCTTCATGTGGTGACAGGAGAAAGCAGCTGGATCCTTTACAGGATCCATAGGTATCAGTATCGACATCAATGAGAAAGCCCTGAATGGCTTTTAAAAGCATTTCAGGAGGGGTTTTCTTGCTCTGAAACACACCAGTTCTATAGGTGGACTATCTCTGAGGTGTCTTTTCTCATCCATTAAATGAACAAGTTGAAATTTGGAGGAAAATGAAATAATCTATCACCAGTGTATCAGTTCTGGACTGTGCTCTGCTGCGATGTGTTACGACACGAAGCAGCTAACGCCACACGTGTTTACAAGCCTTTTATTCCTGAGTGCTTGATAGGTTTTCCTCCAGTCAGCTGGTTGCTTCACACTGTGCTAGTCACTCACTAACCTGTGTGATTGTGCTGCTCTGATAACCTGAGCTGCAGATTGTGGGTGTTGCTCGGTGAGCTTTACATCCTCCAAATGGTTTGGGGAAGATGATGAGTCAGTGATTGGGAAATGCTGCAGTAGCAGCAGGATCGTGCCCTCTGCGTTCCTATCCGGCTCCAAAATGCTTTACAGACATTTCTTGCAAACAGCTGTCAGCTCGGGGCTGTGTTCACGTGTCATTCACTGGGTGTTGCTGCCCCTCTTTGGGTTACTAACTGTGAAATGCTTTGAGATGTCCGAGGCTTTGGCAGACGAGCTCTGGTGACTCTTGTTGCAGCACCTACGGTCCCCAGCCATCCCCAGCAGCCACTCTGACCCCGTAGTGGAGGGAGCAGAACGGACCACGTGCCTGTGCCTCCACTCCGCCACTTGGCAGTCGGTGCCTTAGTGCTCCCCACCTTCTTTGGCAGTTTAAGTGGCTACCCTGGGCTGCGAGGTGCAGGTACGCGTCCTCTCCGTTCACTCTGCTATGGGGGCATCGCCACTGCAAAGAGGGACGTACTTGGATGGTGTGGTTTCTTAACGCGTTGCAGAAACGCGTTAAGTGGTCAGGCTCACGGTTGGGCAGGTGCTGGGAGTGTTTTGTGACTCTCCCCAGCTTTGTTTTACTCAAACTAACACGTTCATGGGGTGTGGGTTTTCCTTCCTAAAGCTTTTGGTATGTGACCTCTTTGTCTTTCCTCCTTTAGATCCAGCGCCTCAGCTAGACGTCCATGAAGCAAATAAGCAGTTTATGGAACAGAGTGAAGAGCTCTATGATGCCTTGATGGACTGTCATTGGCAGCCTTTGGACAGTGTCTCTTCAGAGATTCCAGCCGTGTTATAGCCTCAGGCTGAGGCACTGTGTCTGTGTGACAAGCCTGCCAGCGTGCTCCAGACTGTTAGTGCTGCACCAGGACCCTGCAGTAGTGAGGGGTGGCCCTTTCTCCACCCAGGTCTGTTACTCGAAGTACAGGAGGACTGTGGCCTTCCCTGTATGGAATGAGTATCATAGGAGCATCATGGTAAACTTTTATTCATGGGGAAAGTTAGAACTGCAACAGTTTTATTCCTTTTGTCTTGAAATGAACTCTTATTTGGGAATTGTAATTTATAAACTCTCAGCGAGATGGCACAGGGGAAAGACTCTACTCCAACGTCCAATAAAAAAGTTGGTCTTTTAAGTAAAATCACCCTTTGCATTTGGTTCCTGCCCATCTTTCTGCTTTGCTGCCCATTTAACCATCTTCAGTTCTCTGATCCAACTCCCACGAATGGGTTCTTTTAAGGAATCATTGCTGGATACCACTGACGTGTTGCACAGTGACCGGGTAAGGTTGCTGTGACTTGAGGATGGGGAAGAACCACGTAGATGAAAGCTTATGTTCTCTTTGAGCTAGCACATGTAGAGCTCAGTGTTCTTAACCTACCTGAAGAGCTTTTTGGAGAGTAAAGACAGAAAGGAGCGTTGTAAAACTACTCCAGACCGATGCCTCCTATCTGGTGATGTCTCTCACGTTTGCCTTGCTTCTCCACTTGTCTATAAGGAAACAATTCCCCAGCAGCCAACCAGTTTAAAACATGTTTACCAGCAACCTTCTTTAAACCTTATTTTGTGTCTCATGTTTCATTGTGGATGAAAAATGGTCTCATTGAGATGATGAGATTTCCCTTCCACTGTCCTGTCAGAGTGAACCTGGTGAAACTGAAGATCCTGCAGCAAAAACGGGTCAAAAACGCTGTATTGTGCAACAAATTGTTGCTGCCCTGGAAAGCAGTTTTTTACTGGATGTTGTATAAGCTGGATGGACAAGCAATATTATTTAAGCTAAGATTATGTTGCATTAGAGGTGAAAGCAAAAAATAATCGCACTTCTGTACATGTTCTAAGCCCTTCCCAGGCTTTTGTGCCTTAAACTCTTGGAGAACTAGGAACAAAAACTACCTGCAATAAATGTCTATCCAAGAAATCGTTTGGTAACTGACATTGCTGCTGCAAAGCAGTTCATTGCCTCCCTGCCCATGGTGAGGCAGAGATTTGCCACGAGATTTCAATACTTTCATAAAGCCTAACTCTGCTGCCCCTTTGTGTCCATAGTTGTGATGTATTTGTCAGTCTGCTCTTCTTAACTGACTGCGGTGGTTGAACGTGCTGTGGCTATGAGAGGAGCAGTGGTGTGATACAGGTGCTGAATGACTGCAGGCTCCCTGTGTCCTCTTCTGCTGTGAATTCTTCCCTCCTGCTGTGCATCTGACTGTGCTGTGGGCTGTTACCCATGTTACCTTCAGTTGCTCTGAATTTAAGGAGATGAATGTTCCCTGCCTTTGCTGGGAGCCTTTCAGAGATGGAGGAGAGCAGAGTGCTTTGTTTCTTCTGACTGGAGCTGCTCAGCTCAGAGGATGCCCCTCTTCTTGAAAAGGGCATTTCAGAGGTGATGTAAAGGGGGTTTATGTTCTGCTGTTAACGGCTTTCTAGGTCGTTCCATTCCTGTGCTGCAGCAGTGCTACCCTCGTGCCCAACCGTCATAAGACTGTCTTGTCCATCCAGATTTTAGCTTTTATAGTGCAGCCCTCATTATTTGACCTGAAGCCATGCTTCCTTTATCAGTATAAGTTTATGCTGTGCTTCTAAGGCTGTGTAATATTCCCTGGTGCCCAGATAAGCCATCTCCATCCAAGCTGGTCTCTAAAGGACAGCAGAGCAGATTAGCACAGAACAGTGACCCTGTGGCAAATCATTTTGCTCTCTGCTGTTGTTTCTGTGGTGGAAAGCTGGTCATGATTGGTCCAACCCATCATAGTCCCCTAGTTTCATAGAGTGGTTTGGGTTGTACCTTAAAGCTCCTCCAGCTCCAACCCCTGCCATGGGCAGGGACACCTTCTGCTAGAGCAGCTTGCTCCAAGCCCCGTCCGAACTGACCTTGAACCCTGCTAGGGATGGGGCATCCCACGTTCCAGCAGAGCTGTGTATAGCCAGACCCTTGGGCCCTTCCCTAGGTGTAGAAAGAACAGTTTGGGAGTACAGAGGCCAGCAGAGGATACCCACCAACGCCTGTTTACTGTTGCTGCAGAGCTGAAAATAGCTCCTGCATTTCTTTTTTGGAGCGAGGGTTGACGTGAGGCTTTGGGCCACGTTTCCTTGATGCAGGAGCCAGTTTTGGGGGGTTGTTTGTGAGACTCTCAGCCAACGTTCTGTTGAGCTGTTAATCTCTCCACACTGTTTCCTGTGGATCACATACTCATCTTCATGTTCATTTTCAGCTCCTGGCCGTCATTGCAGCATCTGAAGCACAGAAGAGACTTCTATGTGGTGCTACAAACCCGTCACCTGCAGTTTGTAGAGTTTGTGCTTTGGAATCCAAGTCAAACAGAGTGTGGGATTCTGCTGCTCGTGGATGGCTACAGGAAAAGCTCTGATTAATTGCCATTTAACCTAACACCAGATGAAAGACAAGGACTCCGTGTAGTAAGGTAAATCCTGCTTTTATCTTTACGTGCTAAAGACGAAATCCAAAGCAGATGGTATCACAGCTCAGGGGGCTTATGAAATTTTCTAAAATTACATTTAAAAAGGTAACAGAGGGGAGACCGTGATGAGATCTGAGGCAGAAGCTTTTCCCTGTGAGGGTGTGGGACACTGAGATGGGATGCATGGAGAAGCTGTGGCTGCCCCATCCCTGGCAGTGTTCAAGGCCAGGTTGAACAGGACTTGGAGCAACCTGCTCTAGTGGAAGGTGGGGGGCTGGAGCTGGATGAGCTTTAGGGTCCCTTCCAAACCAAACACATCTGGGATTCTATGATTCTGTGAACATTGCATCAAAACATGCAGTGGAGACGATGAAATACTCTGCCTTTCAGCATGCAGCATTTACTAGTAATTACAAGAACACTTCCTACATTACTTGATGAAGATGTGATGATCCAATTTAGATTCCTCTCAGTTTGCTGGGATTACTGTTGGAATTACATAGACTAAAAAATGCTGGGCCAAGTGCAGAGCTGGAAAGATGTGGGTGTTCCTGTTGGGCATGAAGCAGGGGTGGTTTCCAAAGCAGAAGCTGCAAGGCTGTGGGGTGGACTGTTGCCATTGCATGTGTTTAATTCCAAGCTTGACATAAGCAGTGGGGGTGGCCTGTGAGGAATGCTGACCAGTAGGATGAGGAAGGAAAGCATTCCTTTAGCTAACATGGCTCTGCACCAGTGCAGCCCAGTGTGTGGGTTGAGAGCTCTGATAGGAATCAGTGATGATGTTTTCCATGTGTGTCTGAGTAAGAAAATTCCTGTTGCTTGGGCCAGTTTCAGGAGATGGTTCCTATCCCACACATCAAGAAGTACCAAACACCCTTTGGTATTTCTCTGAATCCTTCTCAAGGAGCAGAGATGCTTGGCTCTGATCTTTGCATACTCAGTTTCTCAACACTGGCTTTCCTCATGCCCAGCTTGTGCTAAACAAGACCTGAGAGGAATCTCTGCCTCCCAGGTTTGCTCTCTGCATCTTGTGAAGCATTCTGGATGCACCAGCTTCTGGATTTCATTCCGTGCTTCTGCTCTAACGTTTCCAGGCTCAAAGCAATGGTAGATAACACAGGTAAGGTGATAAGTGATAGAGCTGTTCATGGCAAGGGCTTGGCTTGTCCCCGCGGCACGCAGGATTCCTAGGGAGCACAGCAACCCGCTTGGATTACTGATTCATCCTTGCTTTTCCTCAGGGTTAGCTCCTCACAGAGCACTTTCCTGCGGGATGTCTGCTCCCCCCTGTCTGGTGATGGGAATTGCAGCCTCTTCCATAGAGCAGGAGCATCTCCCAGTGCTCCCCATCCTGTGGATGCTACCAAAGAGACTGGCATGAGGCTCCCAGCCAGACCAGGAGGTTTCATCGGGGCCTCCCCAGTGCAGGCATGGGATTTTCTCTGCTCCTCTTTGCAACTCCATCCACCATCTCATGCTGGGTTGAGGTCTATTGAGCATCACAGGTTTGGGGCGTTCACCCAGCTGGAAGATTCTCTTGCCAAGCACTTGATGTCTACCAAGGTTTGGATTTTTGGGAAGGGTTTCTTTCTTTTGCTATGGCGATCTCCCAGTTTCTGGCCTGGGATTTGACAGGGAGATTTCGAGGTTCCCTTTGCACGAGTGCCAAGGAGAATCCAGGACACTCAGGGAATGAATGCCTTGTGACTTGGCAAAGCAGCCACAAGATCCATGCAGGAGGTGGAGGATGGGACCAGCTTTGACCAGGGCTGTCTTTAGAAGAGCTTGGCCACACACGGGCTGGGGCTCATTTCCAGGCTTGTGCTCTAAATGAGGACCAGGTTGAACTGGTTGCTAACCTGGCATGTTTGGGGGGGGGGTGACCAGCTCCAAGGGCGCTTCCTGAGCGCTGTGAATGGTTTTCATCTGTGTCCTTTGCTCAGGTTTAAAACTAATTGTTGTTGCCCCTCATCCTTTCTGCTCTTTCCCCAGGCTCAGGGGCAGGAAGCAGTCTCCGGCTTCTCAGCCCCATTTCTCCTGGAGGCTGTGGCATCAGCACCTGCAGGAATTCCAGCAGTTGCTCCAAACCAGTTGGTTGTAACCCTTTCCATTGATGATGGATCATGAGCCAGGAGCCCAACAGAAGGATTGCTTTGGCAGGTAGGCTTTTGCTTCCAAGAACTTTCCTTCCATTCCCCAAGGGTCGGGTGTGCTCCCCAGCTTCTGGAAGGAAGGAAGGAAGGAAAAACGTGTCTGCTGTAGGACAATATAGGTGCTTCCATCCCCTTTGGGGAGAGCAACCCCATGTGGGGAGGAGGAGAGGGAATTCCTTGTGCCTCCCAGCCTGGAGGCTGCTCAGGTGGGCTGGGGCGCGTATCAAACCCAGCCTTGCTCTTGGGCTGGGGCATCCCCTGCTGCTGCGGGGGCAGAGGGGAGCCCTGAGCCCCTGGGGAGGGCCCGGGGGTACCGCAACGGAACGAACTACAACTCCCATAAGGCTCTGCGGCAGGGCCCAGCCCCAGCGGCCAATCAGCCCCCGCGCTGCCGCGCTATAAAAGCCCACCCCACGGTGACTTCCGCTTCTCTCTGCGATGGCGGCTGCGGTGGCGGTGGGGCCTGCGGGACGGCCGCCATCCGCCTTCATCTGCCCTCATCCGCCCTCATCGGCCGCCATCCGTCCTCATCCGCCCTCATCCGTCCTCATCCGCCCTCATCCGCCCTCATCCTCCCTCATCGGCTGCCATCCGCCCTCCCCGCGGTGCTTCGGGGCCCTCCCATGGGCTATGGAGGGCAGCGCGGCCGCCGTAGGGCTCCGCTCCCGGTTGCAGGGGCGAACGATGGCACCGCGGGTGAGTGACCGGAGCGGGCTGAGCTGAGAGCCCCGCCGGGGGAAGCGGCTGCGGGGCGGGGGAGCCCGGGCCGGCCCTATCGAAGCTGCGTCTGTCTCGGTGCCGTGGCAGATGCAGTCAAAAAGGAGCCGAGAGCGAAGGGTTTTCCTCGACGGTCGCCGCTCCGTTTGAGCCAACGTAACCGAGCGGCAACATGGCAGGAAGGCACAGGGGCGTCCGGCGGAGGGGCTGCGGGAGAGCTGGAGAGGGGCTTCGGACACGGGATGGAGGGACAGGGACAGGCCAAGGGGCAGGGCTTTAACCTGCCAGAGGGGAGGCTGGGGTGGGATCTCAGGAAGGAATTCCTCCCTGTGAGGGTGCTGGGTCACTGGGATGGGGGGAACAGAGCAGGTTTGGCTGCCCCATCCCTGGCAGTGTTCAAGGCCAGGTTGGACACAGGGGCTTGGAGCAAGTGGAAGGTGTCTCTCGTTGCAGCTGGGTGGGCTTTAAGGTCCCTCTATCATCTGTGTGAAGCTCAAGGCTCTGTTCTTCCCCAGCAGCATCCCAACATGGAAGGCGATCCTAGGGCATGGGATGGTTGATGCCCAGCTCAGCCTTGGACAGGTGAGATGTGCAGTCCAGGAATCTCCCATTGGGAATGGGGCTGCCTTCATGGCCCCCCTGGCCTGAGCACCAGGTGGTGCCAGCGTGGGGCTCACTGCAGGGGCTGTGGATCCTCCACAAGCTCATCCTGCAGACAGGGATTCCCTGTTCCTAATACGAGGCATGAAGAACTGCAGACCCCCTTGGTTCTTGTTCTGTCGGTGTCATGCATCCCTTGGGATAAAGGGACTTCTCTGCCCAGCATTGCTGGGGCAGAACCAGGAACCAGACCCGATCTGAAGCTGCTGGATCCCTCCTGCTGCTCGGAGCCATCCCAGCCTTTGGTGGGGAGCTCAGTGCTGCCTGGGCATGTTCATCCAAGAGCTGTGGCTCAGTGCAGTGGCCTCAGCTCTCCAACAACATGCCAGAGCAATGGAAGGTCTTTGACTGCTGGGCTTCTCCTGCCCGTTGCTGTCACTCGCCCCTCCTATAGACCTCCAGGAATGTGGGGTGTACCCAGCAGTCTGCAGCCTGCTCCTCATTTGGGGGTGTTCTTGTTCCTCCAGGGTCATTTGGCTGCTGGATGATGACCGTGACCTGCCGGTGCGTAGGCCTCAGGTGAGAATGGGATGCCCTCATTCCAGGCTCTCATGTCCCGTCCCTCCGGATCCCTTTCCCATCAGATCTGAATACCGATCTCGTGGTCGAAAAAGGAGGAAAAGCAACATTCCGGCTGGTCTCATCCTGTGCTGGTGCAGTGCTGCTGGGAGAGGGGCCAGTCAGAAGACAGCCTGTGCTGGTGTTCCTTTGGGAAGGCTGGGGTGGGAGTGAGCATGGAGGAAGGTGGGGCACAGCAGGAGGCTGGGGTTCACCTGGGCTGGATCTGATGCCTCAGTTCCTGGTGGGCAGCATCCCACCAGCGTCACGTCCTCACTGGGGCTGGTTTTAACAGGAATTACTTGGTGGAAAAGAGCTGCTGAGCCCCTCGCTGTGGGGAAGGGATAGGCTTTGCCTGCCTTAGGGCCTGCATCGTGGGAAGCTGACGTGGAACCGGGTGAGTGTCCCTGGTGGTTTGAGTGGGATCTCACCAGCCCTGGGGGGGGGGAAGGGATGGTTCAAGCTACCTCTGCCCCTGCTGGAAGTGGCCACTCAACAATCTGGGAATGATGGGCTTTGTTAATTGGGATCTTAACTGGGCAGCCCTCTGGGTACAGCCTGGTCCGTGATGATCCTTCCTTTGGAGACTGCTGGATGAGTCCTGCGGATATGGGGCTGAGGCCAGGCATGAAGGAGCCAAGGGATAGATGGGAATCCTGTGGCACCAGGAGCTGCTGCCCTTCACAGAGCTGTGTTATCTGTTACCCCTCTTCAGGTCTGCATGGAGCTGAGGTGGGAGCTGGTCCTTGAGGGCTGCAGCAGCTCTGCAGAGCCACATCCTGGCTCCTTCCTGAGCTCCACTCACTGCACCCACCAAGAGGGACCCTGCCTGGCTCCTGCTGCAGTCCTGCATGGAAGGACTGGAGTTTTCCAAGGAGAAGAGCTTGGAGGGGAGGGTCTGGGTATGGAATGTTGGAAGGTGAATAAACAATCACACGAAGCTTGCGCTGTGTCCTCTGTGCTGGGGTTCGGGTTGCTGCTGGGGCACCTGCATCCTGCTGGGATGAGCCCTAAATCCTAATGGCTTCTTCCACCTGATGCTTCGAGGTGGGTTCCCGTTGGTGGCTGGGCATGGGGGTGCCTGGAATGGCACCGGCATGGACAAAGATGACACCTTCAACGTTGCCAACGTCTGTTGCCCATTCCCTTAGGATGGAGAGCAAAGAGCCCCAGAGCTGTTGCAGGGAGGAGGGATTCCCCGTGTCCATGCAGCCCTTAAAGGGGGACACATCCCCACTGCACTCTGGGCTCTCAGGGGCTATGGAGGGACCCCGCAGGTCTACTCTGGAGCCCCCAGTCTGGTTGGGGGACCCAAAACTCCCCAAGGGAAAGGGGCCGAGGGGCTGTCAGGTTGCTGAGGTGACCCCCAAACCTCACCAGCACCCAGCCCTGGGGCTGCGTCCCTGCAAGGGTTATTTAAAGCCTTAATGTGGGGGCTTTGAATAACTAGCACCTCCCTAAAGAGGTGGATTTAATGAACGTGAGGCTATTCCACACTAAATAAAGGCTGCTCTGAGCACTGGGACACATCAAGATTCAACCCATGGCATGGAACAACATGGTTTGTGTTGGAAGGGACCTTAAAGCTCCTCCAGCCCCAACCCCTGCCATGGGCAGGGACCCCTTCCACTGGAGCAGCTTGCTCCAAGCCCCTGTGTCCAACCTGGCCTTGAACACTGCCAGGGATGGGGCAGCCACAGCTTCTCTGGGCACCCTGTGCCAGCGCCTCAGCACCCTCACAGGGAAGAGCTTCTGCCAAAGAGCTCAGCTCAGTCTCCCCTCAGGCAGGTTAAAGCCATTCCCCTTGGCCTGTCCCTACATCCCTTGTCCCAAGCCCCTCTCCAGGTTTCCTGCAGCCCCTTCAGGCACTGGAGCTGCTCTGAGGTCTCCCCTTCAGGAGCCTTCTCTTCTCCAGGCTGAGCACTGGGGGATGCTCTGCTTTAGGGGGGGAGGGTGTCACCCCCCCCCCATGTCTGTCCCTTGATGGGATAAACGGGACCAGGCTCCCCCTGAGCGAATCCCTGCGGATGGAGCCAGGATAAAAGGGGCTCCAATGGCGGGCCGGGAACGCCTCCTGGGTGGAGGAGCCAGCTCCTGCCTGCCCGTACACGCTCCCGGTGCAGGGCCGGAGGAGCCGATGGAGCCGCGGTGGCAGCTCCAGTTCCGGGTGATCATGCTGGGGGACTCCACGGTGGGCAAGTCCTCGCTGCTGCGGCGCTACACGGAGGGGGTGTTCCTGGATGCCATCAACCAGACGGTGGGGGTGGATTTCTACGTCCAGTTCGTGGAGCTGGAGCCGGGGCTGAGGGTGAAGCTGCAGTTCTGGGACACGGCCGGGCAGGAGAGGTTCAGGTGAGTCCTGCTCTGCCCATGGGGGCCCCTGCCTTAGAGAGCTGTGAGCCAACCCCAATGGGCGTCCCTTTGCTGGGGATGGAACCACAACGCCCGGGCAGGCTGCGGGAGCTCAGAGGAGTCAAAGCCAACGGCGTCCCTAAGGAACGGAGCCCTTGATCCAGCCCTAAGGGGGGTCAGGACCTCCCAAGCACCTCTTTGCCCCATGAGGGGATGGGCAAGCTCAAGAGACATGGATGTAAGGGATGGGAGAGCACCAGGACCATGGCTGGAGGAGATGGGAGAGCACCAGGACCGTGGCCGCAGGGGACAGGAGAGCACCAGGACCATGGCTGGAGGGAATGGCAGAGCACCAGGACCATGGCCACAGGGGATAGGAGAGCACCAGGACTGTGGGTGGCTGCAGGGGATGGGAGAGCACCAGGACCATGGCTGCAGGGGATGGGAGAGCACCAGGACCGTGGCTGCAGGGGATGGGAGAGCACCAGGACTGTGGCTGGAGGGGATGGGGGAGCACCAGGACCGTGGGTGGCTGCAGGGGATGGGAGAGCACCAGGACCGTGGCTGCAGGGGATGGGAGAGCACCAGGACTGTGGGTGGCTGCAGGGGATGGGAGAGCACCAGGACCGTGGCTGCAGGGGATGGGAGAGCACCAGGACGGTGGCTGCAGGGGATGGGAGAGCACCAGGACGGTGGCTGGAGGGGATGGGAGAGCACCAGAACCATGGCTGCAGGGGATGGGAGAGCACCAGGACGGTGGCTGGAGGGGATGGGAGAGCACCAGGACGGTGGCCGGAGGGGATGGGGGAGCTCAGGGGCTGTGCTGCAGGCAGGGGCGATGCTCCCCCCCCTTTCTCCCATTGCCCCAGGTCCGTGACCCGCTCCTATTACCGCAACTCGGCCGGGGGGATGCTGCTGTTCGACCTCACCAACCCCGCGTCCTTCCAGAGCGTGCGGCGCTGGCACCGGGAGGTGACGGACACGGTGCCCCCGTCCCGCATCGTCTTCCTGCTGGTGGGACACAAGAGCGACCTGGCTGCGCAGCGCCGCGTGAGCAGGAGGGAGGCGGAGAGGCTGGCGGCGGCGCTGGGGGTGCAGTACATCGAGACCTCGGCCAAGGACGCCACCAACGTGGTCCAGGCCTTCCGGATGCTGACGGTCACCATCTACCAGGCGCTGCGGACAGGGCAGCTGGCAGCCGGCGAGGCCTGGGATGGGGTCAAGAGCAGCGTCCCGCTGCCGGCGCCGCTCCAGGCTGCGGGGACGGAGAAGGAGAAGAGGTGGAAGAGCTGCTCGTGCTAGAGGTGGGCACTGGGACCCGGGCGCTGTGGGGCACGGAGCGCATTAAACACCCCTGTTCGGTGCTTCTGCCTGTGTGTGAGTGGGGAGGGGGGGACAGGGCAGGGGTGGGTGTCACCCGTGTCCCTCTTCTGTTCTGAGGCTGGGCCCAGCCCCTGGGGGTGTCACCGCCTCCCCCTCGGCCAAGGGCTCGTCTGGACCCCTTTTACTGCCCAACCCTCATGCTGAGAGGGCCACGTCCAGCAGCCCCTCCTGCACACCCCACGCTGGGACCCCGGCTCCATTGCTCATCCTCAGGCACCACATCCCATGATCCAGACACCCTGGGCTGCAGGCAGGAGGGGACGGCGCCTGCCCCTCTGTCCACACAGCAGAGACCAGCCCAAACCCTTTCCCTTCTCTCTAACACCACCAAAAGGGATCTTGCACCAGAGCCAAACCCCGGTGATGGAGCTGCTGCCCCTTTCTCTCTGCACACCCCAGCAGAGCCCCAGGCTGTAGATTAACTTCTTTATTCCTGTAAAACAAAGGCAAGTCCTTATAGAAACACTGACATTACAAAGTACCGGGGCAGGAGGGAGGGCACGAAAACCTCTACGGATGCTTCTAATACTGTCCCACACACGCTCAAACGCTGTCCCCTGGATAATCACTGAGAGGAGAAACCCACGTTCAAGTCACAAAGAGTCTTTGTTTCCGAGACCCGCGGCGGGAGGAAGGGGCTGGAATCTCCTCGGGAACTCCAGGTATTGCTGCACCACGAAGGGGAAACCGATGCTTCTGTGTGGAGCATGAAACCCCCGACCCCTGCGTGGTGCTGGGGGGGCTCCGGCGGAGGCAGATCCCAAACAGGCGCAGGCGGCTCCTCCCTCCCGGCTCAGCCCTGCGTTATTTCTTGGTGGTTTTGCGGATCAGCGCCATTCTCTGCAAGAGAGGAAGAGAAATCCCTTGGGAAGGCGAGTGCCTGGGAGCAGGCTCCTGCAGAGCAGCCTGGAGTGGGGGTGTCTGGGGTGCCCTGGGGACAGGCGCTGCCCGACTCGCTCCACACAGGTCTGGCAGGTCTGCTGGAATCTTAATGGGGTCCCAAGTGGGAGCCAGAGGCAAAGGCAGAGTCTGTGCTCCTCAGCATGGGAAACACGGAGGGATGGGGAGTGCAGCGATCACAGCCCAGCCCGGGGGCTCCTGTCCCTGCCAGAACCTCAGGAGGGGAGGTGCAAAACTGCCTATAGGAAACCTGGAGAGGGGCTTTGGACACGGGATGTAGGGACAGGCCAAGGGGAATGGCTTTAACCTGCCCGAGGGGAAATGGAGATGGGACCTTAGGAAAGAATTCTTCCCTGTGAGGGTGGTGGGACACTGGGACGGGCTGAATGCCCCATCCCTGGCAGTGCTCAAGGCCAGGCTGGACACAGGGGCTTGGAGCAAGCTGCTCCAGTGGAAGGGGTCCACCAGACATCATCACTGGATGAGCTTTATGGTCCCTTCCACCCACACCATTCTGTGATGCTGTGATTCTATGGGAATCATCCAGCAGCTCCTTCCCCAGCTCTGACCATGCACTTAGAAGCCAACACAAAAGAGCAAAACCAAGTGATTTCCAGTTCAAAGCAGGCGGAAGAGGCTACAAATTCACCTCGTGCTACGAGTCCAGTACCACTACCACCCCTCCCCATATCACACGTGCGCCATGGGCTCCTCACCTGTTTGTGAGCTTCTGTAGTGCAGGCTTTCTTGTAGGGCCTGATCTCTTCAGAACCAAAGCCTGGGATCCACATGTTCCACTGACGCTCTAGAAGACAGAGCACAGCTCAGCTCTGCCCTGACTGCAAGAGCAGCCCCATCACCGCAAGCCCCCTGACAGCACAGCAGTGCTGGAGGCGTGCTGGGGATCCACACACCAGTGAGGAAAGGGAGTCCCAGCATGAGAGGGACGTGGAGCTGTTGGAGTGAGGCCAGAGGAGGCCATGGAGCTGCTGTGAGGGTTGGAGCAGCTCTGCTCTGGAGCCAGGCTGAGAGAGCTGGGCTGGGTCAGCCTGGAGAAGAGAAGGCTCCTGAAGGGGAGACCTGAGAGCAGCTCCAGTGCCTAAAGGGGCTGCAGGAAACCTGGAGAGGGGCTTGGGACAAGGAGCTGTAGGGACAGGCCAAGGGGAATGGCTTTAACCTGCTAGAGGGGAGACTGAGCTGAGCTCTTAGGCAGAAGCTCTTCCCTGTGAGGGTGCTGAGGCGCTGGCACAGGGTGCCCAGAGAAGCTGTGGCTGCCCCATCCCTGGCAGTGTTCAAGGGCAGGTTGGACACAGGGGCTTGGAGCAAGCTGCTCCAGTGGAAGGGGTCCCTGCCCGGGGCTCTGGATGAGCCTTAAGCTCCTTTCCAACACAAAGCAGTCTGGAATTCTCTGCAATCAAACCCCAGCTCACTCACCAAGATGCAGCTGGACATCCTTCACTTCCAGGGTGTTGGACTTGCGGTGCCGTGCGAGCTGACAGGCCGCTGTCACCACGCTCTCAATGAAGTCATCAGCGATCTGCAGCAACATCTGGGGCAGGACAAGGACAAGAACCGGTTTTCTCAGGGCTGAGCAGCTGAAGTTGTGCACCAAGTATGAAAATGAACCCTCAGAAGTTCCCATTTCAAAGGGGTTTGCTGCAATTCCTGTTGGAAACCCCTTCTTGGCACTGCAACGCCAATGGAGGGTTGCAGGCTGCAGCGAACGTGAGAACTCACAAGTGTCCAATGAACCAACCCTCCCTGCTCTGCACAAAGCATCCATGGAAAAGCCTGGACCTGCTCTTCCTGCAGCCCCTGGCACACGTTGGTACCTACTTCCTCCACATCCTCATCCAGCTGCTCGTTGGGATCCACCTCACGCACCAGGTCCTGCAACTTCTTCTTGGTTAAAACCTGAGAGTGTGGCAGAAGAGGAGCCATTTACTGCCCTGCTTCTGCCAAAGCCTCCTCCCCAGCTGCCTCCCAGGCCCAAGTCACACAAGGATCAGCTCAGGAAGGGCAGCGATAAGAACTAGGAGGTGCTAAAGAGCCGTTTTCAAGCACCAGCAGCTGCTCTGAACAGCATGCAGCAGGCCAGGAGAAATAAGTCTCCTGCACTCAACAGGTGCTGCAATGCTGAAGCAAGAAGGGACAAAGGCAGAACTGGAAGCCTTGAGAGGCAGACAGCAAGTGCAAGCACCTATCAGTGACTAAATCTGTGCCCAGGGCACAAGGAAAGTGTTTCCATGGCTCTGGCTCTTATCAGCTTTAGTGCTTCCAATGGGAAACAGAGGGATCTGTGAGTGTGGGGTCACTCAGGGGCAGAAGGGAACAGCCCCAACAGGGCAGGGAGGAGAAATCCTGCTGATGCTCAGCATCAGCAGAAAACTGGGGTTTATAGGATCTGGATGCAAGTTATCCCCATGGATCTGCCAGCTGAACCAAGACACACGTAGGGAATTCCTGCCCTTGCTGGTGCCATCACACCCGGTTTGTTTAAAGGGATGAGCACAATTCCCAGGGAGGGCACATCCCGGGGCTGATGGGCAGCAGCACTGATACACACCAGGGGCTCCCCATCGAGCACACAAGCAGGTCAGCACCGCTGCCACCCTATAAGGCAGAGGCCCCTTTAGGCACTGGGGGCTGCTCCTGTGCTGTCCTGCAGTCAGGAATGCAGTTACCTGGTTGCTCTCAGGGCTGAGGCGGCCTCCCCCGCTGGGTGTTCCAGGCATCTTTGCCACGGCGGTGCTGTTGGCCATGGAGCTCTGAGGGGGGGTGCTGGCTGGTTCTGGCTTGATGGAGGAGAAGCTGGAGAGGTTGATCAAGGTCGAGGGACCAAACTGGTTCATAATCTGTTGGGCTTTAGCTTTTAGATCATGCGGTTTCTCTCAGCCCTGCTGCTTCTTGGGATGGGGGGCACGCAAACCGGTCAGCTGGGAAAGGAAAGGAAAGGCATGGTTAGCAGAGAGAGAGGGGATTGAACAGGAAATCACATCTTTGTCTGGACAAACAAGTGTCCTGGCAGGACCTGGAGGTCTGCAGGAGGCTGGGTCTCTCTGGACAAAGCAGGAAGGGAGAAGCAACACTGAGAAGAAGAGAAACCTCCTGTGGTGCAATGCAATGGTTTAGGATGTGAAGCACATTTCTCACACTGAATCCCACACGTGGCCACCCACACCCTCTGCTCAGCACCCTGCTTCATTCCACAGCATCATGGAATGGCTTGGGTTGGAAGGGACCTTAAAGCTCCTCCAGCTCCAACCCCTGCCACGGGCAGGGACCCCTTCCACTAGAGCAGCTTGCTCCAAGCCCCTGTGTCCAACCTGGCCTTGAGCACCGCCAGGGAGCACAGATATCCCCTGGAGGACAAGGAGCTTTGAAGAAGAGACCACACAAAGAAGATGGAACCAAAGGCAGCAATGGGGGAATGGCAGGGACAGTGTTGGAGTCTCCATCTCCATGCTCCATGGGCCTAAGACGGGGTTCAAGCTCTGCTGGGTGCCTGCTGCAGTGTGAAGGTCTCGTTTCTGGCCCCATCAACACTTCAAGCCCTCCTAAAATCGCATCATCGGCTTGGGTTGGAAAAGTCACGGATGAAGAGAGCATCCGGTACCTGTGCCCCAGGCATCCCCCATCGTCAGGACAAGCTCTGTTAGTCGGGATCAACTCACACCAAAACACACGGCAGAGACCAGGCAGGAGCACCTGGAAGCTTCATTCCAAGGCACACTCTTGCACAGACGGACACGGAGCCCTTGGAGCAGGATTTATGCCCCAGACACACTCTGCAGCTCAGTTTCTACCTCAATTTCAGCTAAATTAACACGGGAAAAGCAGGATTCTCACACCTGAAACCCCTCGGCTGGTGTTTCAGGACGAGGAGCTCAGCAGAAGCTCAGGAATGAGCTCAGGTGGGGCTTGGCTTTGGGTCAGGCTGATCACACCACAAATCCCCAAAGCAGGAATCCTCGCCCACCACACAGGGAGGGGATCCTCAGCCAGGAAGCACGTTGTGAGCATGCAGTTGTTGCTTCCCTTTTATCCCCCCCTCTACAGGTTGTGAAGACCCCCAAAGATGAAAGAAGGGGGATGTGCCCAGGCCAAATCCCACGTGGCAATGCTGAGCTTTCCTTCCATCTGTGTCTACATCAGCAACCACTGTGGGGCCAGCGAATGGAGAGGCCACTGCCCAAAGCCTTCACCCTGCTCTCACCTCCTCCTCCTCTTCCACACAACTCTCATTCCTATAGGAACACCCATTCAGAGGGGAGACAGGCAAGAGAACACACACTGACAGCACCAGAGGGCTTATCTATAAGAGGATAGGACCTGATCCCAAGCAGATCATTCTCTAAGGACCCCAAAGCAGGAGGAGAAACCTGCCCCGGTGTAATTCTTGTGTCAATGCAATGCAGCCGGGGCAGGGATGGGGCTGGTGCCTGCAGTCAGCCCTCTCAGCCTCCTGCGGCAGCTCCCTGAGGTCCTACAGCTCCCATTGACCTCTATGGTGAAGCCAAGCCAAGCCTCAGCACTTGCTCCAACGAAGACACGAGGGTTTCCAGCAGCTCCAAGGGGTTTATAAAGGGCCGGATGAGGCCCCCCCCTCGCAGCACCCACACTCGGCATCCAGAGCTCATCCCCCGTGACAGGACCGGACCGAGCCTCCCGCCGGTCACCGCGGAGCCGGGGGCGGAGCCAAGGTCACCGGTAACCGGTATCACGGCCGAGCCCCGCTCACTGCTGCCCACCCCCAGCCACCGACCGGCACACGGGCACCGGCTGCACCGGGGCCCGGCCCCGCGCTCCCTCCGTGTGTGAGGCTGCGAGAGCCGGTGCAAAGAACGCGGAGCTCCCCCTCCCCACGGCCCCGCACCGCCCCACAGCCCAGCACCAGCTGTCCCGCTCCATAGCCCCGCACCGCCCCACAGCCCTGCACCAGCTGTCCCGCTCCATAGCCCCGCACCGCCCCACAGCCCTGCACCAGCTGTCCCGCTCCATAGCCCCTCACCGCCCCATAGCCCTGCACCAGCTGTCCCGCTCCATAGCCCTGCACCGCCCCACGGCCCCTACCTCCCCATAGCCCCGCACCGCCCCACAGCCCCGCACCGCTCCACAGCCCCGCACCAGCTGTCCCGCTCCATAGCCCCTCACCGCCCCATAGCCCTGCACCAGCTGTCCCGCTCCATGGCCCCGCACCGCCCCATAGCCCTGCACCAGCTGTCCCGCTCCATAGCCCCGCACCGCCCCATAGCCCTGCACCAGCTGTCCCGCTCCATGGCCCCGCACCGCCCCATAGCCCCGCACCGCCCCACGGCCCCTACCTCCCCATAGCCCCGCAGCCGGACCGACCCTCGGCTCGCTCCGCCGCGCAGCCCGAACCCTTCCGGGGGGACCGGAAGCGCTCCAGGACGCAGCCAATCAGAAAACGGCGCCGCACCCGCCACGGCACGGCCCTTGCCTCCCAGGCTCAGCTAGGAGGTGTCCCAACATGCACCGCGGGATTTGCATATGGCTAATAAAGGGTGCGGAGAGGCAGGAAAGCGATGTTTTGGTGGGAAAAAAAACAGTAAAAACGCAAAAGAAGCGGTAAAACATAGGGTGCAAGATGGGAAGAACTGGGATGGAGGCGCTGAGCGTTTGGCGAGAGGATTTCCTCGCCGTGAGCTCGGCGGTAGTGCAGCGCTTTCCGGTGATGGCGGGTGGGAGCGGCGCGGTAAAAAGGGCTTCTGCCGTGCGTGGCACGGGGGGGCCCCGCGGCCGCTCCCGCGGAATCGACATCAAGAGATTTCGGAAGCACAATTTTTGCAGTGGGGGGGTCGCCGGTAACCGCCTGTTCCGGCGCCCCGGGAGGGGTCAACGACAGAGAAAGAGGCAGAGAGCGCCGGTACCGGCGGTGGGGACCGCAGTGCCGGGGCGCTCCAACCGGTAGCAGCAGCAGCAAGGGGGGCTTTGACTGCGCTAGTCAGTTTGTACCGGTACGGGGGCAGCAGTGGAACGCAGCCCTGACACCGGTGGGACCGGAAGCAGAGCAGTGGGACTGAGACTCTGCGTGTGCTGGTACCGCAACCCTGCGTGCAGTGGTACCGGTACCAGTGGCAACAGGATTGGTACCAGCGGTAGCACCAGGACCCTGCGTGCAGTGGTACCGGTACCAGTGGCAACAGGACACTGCGTGCGATGGCAGCGGGACTCGTACTGGCGGCAGCCGTGGCACCGGGACCCTGGCGTGCGCTGGCAGCGGTACCGGCGGCAGCGCTCCCGCTACAGACACAGTACATGTGTTCAAACACGGGTGTTGTTAAGAGCCCCCCGCACCGCCGCTCCCGGCTTCACAAGGCTTCGTGGTACACGTGTGACAGCGTCGCCTCCAGGCCGGGGCTGTCACCCCACGCCGCCCCACCGGGTCCTCCCCACGGCAGCTCGGCGGGCCGAGGGGCTGGGGTGTGGTATCGCAGCGACGGGACTGGGGCTCTGGCTCGCTGAAGGGGGTGGCATACTCGGGCTCGGGCGGCAGCGGCTCGGCGTACTCGTGGTGCCTCCCCGGGGTGTCGTAGTGGCTCAGGACCAGCGGCAGGGCGTAGCCTTCATCCAGGCTGGCTTGAAGGTGGAGGGAGCGGGCTGGCTGCCGGGGCTCAGCTGCACCAGGTCTGGCTCTGCGTAGTCTGCAATGGGGGAGCCGGGCTCTGAGCGCGGGGCTGGCCCCACAGTGCTGGAGGGGTCACAGAGCCACGGACTTGTTCATTCTGGAAGGGAGCTTAAAACTCATCCAGAGCCACGGGCAGGGACCCCCTTCCACTGGAGCAGCTTGCTCCGAGCCCCCGTGTCCAACCTGGCCTTGAACACTGCCAGGGATGGGGCAGCCACAGCTTCTCCATTCAACCCATTCCAGTGTACCACCACCCTCTTGTGCCTCAGAGCTCATCTCAGTCTCCCCTCGGGCAGGTTAAAGCCATTCCCTTGGCCTGTCCCTACAGGCCCTTGTCCCAAGCCCCTCTCCAGCTTTCCTGCAGCCCCTTCAGGCACTGGAGCTGCTCTCAGGTCTCCCCCTTCAGGAGCCTTCTCTTCTCCAGGCTGACCCAGCCCAGCTCTCTCAGCCTGGCTCCAGAGCAGAGCTGCTCCAGCCCTCGCAGCAGCTCCGTGGCCTCCTCTGGCCCCACTCCAACAGCTCCACATCCTTCTTTGTGCTGCTGCCCCAGAGCTGGATGAGGACTGCAGGGGAGGCCTCCCCAGAGCACAGCAGAGGGGTCATTGTGCTGCTGTTCCAGATGTGGGCTGGCTGGAACAAACCTGCACATCTGGCCCCACCAAGGGCTGGGAGAAACTGGAGTGACCCATGCCAAACCCCACTGAGGGCAGAACACCCCCCCCCCAATGGAGGTGGGCACACCAAAGCAGTGCTGGGGGGGGGAATGGGCCCCCCAGGGTGCAGTAGGGGTGACATAGCCCCCATTCGCACCCTGATGTCCCCATTACCTGGTGACATCAGGTCCCCTGGCGCAGGCGCTGTGGAGAAGGAGGCCAGTGTGGAGCCGGGGGGTGGCAGGGTCTGCAGGGAGCACACCGGGCTTGGATCCAGCTTGGGGTGCCCTGAGCAGAGAGCAAAGCCCCCCGTCGTCACATGCACCAGGACCCCTGGCCCCATGGAGGTCTTGGGGGCACTTCTTTACCTTTCATGATCCCACAGCTCAGCTCTGCCGCTGGTTTTCTGCCAAGGGGGAGAGCAAGATGGGGGTGAGGGGGCCCCAGCACCGCCCCCCTCGGTACCCAGCTTGCTGCTGTGTTTTGGGGGTCAGGATGGGACCCACCTCTTCCTGCGGCACAGGAAAGCCAGCACCAGGAGGCTGGAGCAGAGCAGGACAAAGCCGCCAATGAGCAGCAGCAGCAGCAGCGTGGAGCCTGGGGAGGGCGGGCAGCATCAGCCCCTGGGTGCCCCCGTCCCATCCCTCTGCACCCATGGGTGCCAGACGCCCATGCAGAGCCACCAGAGAAGGGAGGGCAATCAATGTGTTCTCACAGCCCCACAAGACGATGCCACGATTCCATGGCACCCACCTGCCTTCTCCGGGTCCAGGGCGACACCAGGGGATGGGTGCATGGCTGGTGGGGACAGGGACCTCCCTGGGGACACCGGGTGCTGTGGGGCAGAGCAGGGACTCCATTGGGCACAGTGGAGGTGCCATGGGGACATGTGGGATGGGGCCACCCCCCTAAGGGGCTCACCATAGGGCCGGGGCGCTCGGCCCCGCGCTGACTGACATCCCACCAGGGCCACCTTCATGGCCACGTGCTGGTGCCAGCTCTGGGGTGTGACACGGACGTAGCGCCCAACGATGGGGGGGATGAAGGCGTTGGAGACCTCCCCGTGGCTGTCAGTGTTGCCTTCAAACACCTGCCAGAGAGGGTGAGGAGGTGCCCACATGTCCATAGGCAGGGGGGCTACACCCCCTTAATGTCCCCCCATCCTATGCCCACCTTGTCCTCCTGCCCATTGCTGCCCCTATAGGGCCTCCAGTTCTTCCCATCGCGGCTGGAGGACACGCAGTAGGACTTCACGTAGTAGTCGTGCTGCTCCGAGGAGCCCTTGGTGATGATGCCTGAGGGAGGTCCCGCTGTCAAAGGCCTGGGGGGCTGTCCCAATGTGCCCCATTGCATGGGGCAGAGCTTTCCCGGCTGGAACCACCCCCATCTCTGGGATACCCACATCCCTGCTGGGAGGGGATGAGGAGCAGGGGGACCCTCCAGCCTTGGGAGGTATCCAAGTGCTGTCCCCAGCAGCCGATAACCTCCGGCCCCGGCTGCCAGCGCCACATTCCTGCCTCCTCCAGCCTCCGGCTGGGACAATGGCCCCATTTTCCCGGCACAAAGCCCCCGCTTCGGGCTGGCTCCGGCCGAACAAAAGGCGTTTGCTGGCACCAGATGCAGGAGCAGAACATGAACAGAGCCGGCTGCGGATGTGGGGGGGCACAGGGACACCCCCGTTTGCACAGTTGTGTCCCCAGCACTCACCAGTGATGTTCCTGCGGGCGCCCAGGTCCAGCTCCAGCCAAGCAGCATCAGAGCCGGGTTCTGCTGCCCAGGAGTGCCCGGTGGTGCTGAGCGCTGCCCGCTGGGCTCCCCAGGCTCGGTCCTGGCCCAGTGCATCCACCTCGTGCCACCAGGACGAGGCGTTGAAGGCAGCCACGTCCAGCACATCAGCACAGGCTGGCAATGGGACAGGGCAGGGTGAGAGCCAGGCTGGCACCGGGGCTGACTGCCAAAACCATGGCTTCATTTGAGGGGAAATGCGGGATATACCTTTATGGAACAGGAGCCGCTTCTCGGAGAGGGAGCCCCTGTGGGGAGGAGGGACCCTGTGAGCAAACCCGAGGGGGGGCTGCAAATGGTGCGGGGCACAGAGGGAGGTCCCCAGCACCACCTCCCTCACCTTTTGGAGTGGAGCCCATTGGCAAAGGCCGACTCATAGAGCGTGATGCCCTTCTCCCGTGCCAGGGTGACCTGCCCACCCTGCTCGTCCGCGATCACCCCGGCGTGCACGGCCGCCTTGCACAGCACCGACGTCTGCACCGGGGAGCAAGGGGGTGAGACCGGCACCCTATGGGGCACCCCATGGCTGAACGCAGCCCCGGTGACCAGCAGCACCCCCCATGGCTCTGCACTTACGTCCCGGTAGCCCTGGCTGGGGTTGCCCCAGATGTCCCCATCGATGTCCTTGCAGCCGGCAGGGCAGTACACACTGAAACACACGGGGACGGGGGGGGACGGGGCTCACCCCCATCCCAATCCCCTCTGCTCACCCGTCCTCCAGCTGCACCCCAAGAGTCCCATGAGAGGGGATGAAACCGGGGCTGGTGGAGACCAGCAAAGCACCTCCTGCCGCTCACCTGATGTGCTCCTGGGTGTAGTGGGTGCCTCGAACCAGGCAGGAGACCAGGTCTGCAAGGCAGGGACACCCCAGGGTGAGGGACCCCCTGCCAGCACCTCATCCCCTTCCCACCGAACCCTGCTCCATGGCTGGAGGGGTGGGGAGGGTCCCTGCAGCCATCAGCCCCCTCCGCCCCATCTCCCATGTTTTGTCCCCAGCCAAGGGATAAGGTGATGGGACCCCCACCCAGGGGGTGTCCCCGGGGGATGCTCCCCCCTACCTGGGTGCTGCGTTGTGGCGTAGGACAGGAGGAGGCCCCGTCCCGAGCGGTGGCTGGTGCTGTTGAACAGGACGGTCACGGTACTGGAGTTGGTCACCAGGAGAGGGGTGGCCGGGACAGCATTCCTGCAGTACGGCCCTGGGGACAGGCAGAGGACTGGGGTCTCAGATCCCGGAGCTCCAGCCTTTGGGCTGTATCCCCACGTCCCCTTTCACAGGTGCCACCAAAGCTGCCTCCTAAATCCCCCTCCCATTGAATCCACATTAATTTGCAGCCTCCATCTCCCTGATTAAACTTCGGCTTAGCCGGTTCCTTAGGGACATCTCTGCTCCTGGCAGGCCCCAATCTCTGCACTGCCATCACCCCCTCGTTGTGTCTCTGCTCTGCATCATGTCCATTACAGGGGGCTTGGGGCACCCAAACCCATCGCTGCCCTGGGGACAAGGAGCTGTGCCCCTGTGTCCCCAAGGACATGGTGCTGGACCTCAGTTTCCCCACCCAGACCCGTACCCTCACCCTGCCTGGCTCATGTTGAGCCCAGGGGACATGGGACACTGCAGGGATGTCATAGCATTTCCCCATCACGTCCCCTGCCCCTCACCAAGCCTCAGGTTTGCTCCTCCACACCATCAGTGACACTTCCCCCCCCCAGCACTGTAAAATCCCTCCCAGACCATTAAATCCCTCTGGGAAGCATTTGTTTG